ATTTTACCAAATAATATAACATATTAACGATGCACTTTATTCTAGCAAATTCAGAAAAAATTTGCTTAGTTTTAAAAATATCCGTTATAATGGCTATCATATTGAGAGAACACAAGAAAGTAATATTAAATATTTTTGTATAACTTTTTTTGTATTTGGCCAGAAGCAGATAAAAGAAAAATTTCATGCACTCCCATCTAACATGTATTATACATTTATAAAAATGATTGGATCAAATAATGCCACGAACCAGAAGTTCGTTGACCCAAAAAATTTTATACTTTGGCATAATCAACTTAGACATCCAGGAGCTATAACGATGCGTCGAATAATAAACAACTCACATGGACATCTTTTAAAGAACCAGAAGATTCTTTTACCTTATGATTATCCATGTGTAACTTGTTCGCAAGGTAAGTTAGTTATTAGACTTTCAACTACGAAGGTCAATATTGAATCTCCAATTTTTTTGGAAAGAATTCATGAAGATATATGTGGGCCAATACACCCACCATCTGGACCATTTCGTTATTTTATGGTATTAATTGATTCTTCCACTAGATGGTCACATTTTTGCCTACTTTCCACAAGGAATGTAGCCTTTGTTAGACTACTTGCTCAAATTATAAAATTACGAGCACAATTTTTCGATTACTCAATTAAAACTATTCGTCTTGACAATGCTGGTGAATTTAAATCACAAGCATTCGATAATTATTGTATGTTAATCGGGATTGTAATTGAACATTCAGTTGCGCATGTCCATACACAAAATGATTTTGTAAAGTTGTTTATTAAGCGTCTACAACTTATTGTTAGATCATTACTTATGAAAATAAAACTCCCAGCTTCTGTTTAGGGTCATACCATGCTACATGTTGCATCATTGGTTCATATTAGACCAACTGCCTATTATCAATATTCATCTTTGTAACTAGCATTTGGTTATGAACCTAGTATTTCTCACCTACGGGTCTTTAGTTGTGCTGTCCAAGTTCCTATTTCACCCCACAACGTACTAAAATAGGTCCCCAATGAAGACTTGAAATTTATGTGGGTTTTGATTCACCATCAATTATTAGGTATCTTGAATATTTAACGGGTGATTTATTTATTGCACGTTTTGCATAATGTCATTTTGTTGAAATGACTTTCCCAACTTTGAGAGGACAAAAACTACATCCTGAAAAACAAGGTAAAATTTCTTGGAATAAAACAACTCTATCTTATTTTGATCTCCATAACAATCAATGTGAGCAAGAGGTTGAAAAAAACATTCATTTGCAAAGAGTTGCAAATCAATTACCTGATATATTTGTCGACACAAGAAACGTGACAAAGTCATATGTTCCAGCAGAAAATATTTCAGCAAAAATTGATGCCTCTCTAAGACAATTTGCTGTAGCAAATGAATCTCAAATACGCCAGAAGCGTGGTCGACTAGTTGAAAATACCTCGAAAAAGAAAAGTACATGAGAAAAACCAATCAAAAATTTCGGAAGAAGTTACATTAGAAAAGATTGATCAATTAGATATTGAAAATACAGTTCCTGAAGAACCAAAAGTGTCGGAAAATAATGAGATTTCAATAAATTATATATTATCTCATAAATTATGGGAACAAAATAATATTGTTATAGAAAATATTTTCGCGACAAAACCTAAGTTGAGGGAAAAAAAAGTACAGCTACTTCCCCTGATGTTGATAATTGAAAATCTTTTAGTCAACGCATTCCAATATCATGAACTAATTTCTTGAATGTAGATGTTGGTAGTGCTTTTGTGAATAAATCGGTCAAATTGTCACTTGAGCGAATTTGTTGGATATCGATATCGCCATTTTTTTGAAGCTCATGTGAATGAAAGAATTTTGGAAAAATATGTTTCGTTCTATCACCTTTGATATAGCATTCGCTGAGTTGTGCAATACAAGCTGCATTGGCTTCATACAAAATTGTTGGACTATCCTTTCTTGAAATTAATCCGCATGATGCTTGGATATGATGGGTCATATTTCTCAACCATACACATTCTCGCCCTGCTTCATGGATTGCAATAATTTTAGAATGATTTGAAGATGTAGCTGTCAAGGATTGCTTCACAGATCTCCATGATATAGCTGTTCATCCACATGTAAACACATAACCTGTTTGTGATTTAGTTTTATGTGGGTCAGATAGATAACTTACATATGCATATCCCACTAAAGCAGATCCCGACTTTTGAGAATAAAATAATCTCAAATCAATAGTACCCTTTAGGTAACGAAAAATATGTTTAACACAATTCCAATGTTTTTGAGTTGGTGTAGAGTTATATCTTGTAAGGAGATTTACAGAAAAAGCTATATCGGGTCGAGTGCAATTTACAAGATAAGTTAATGCTCCAATTGCACTAAGATATGATACTTCAGGACCAAGAACTTTTTCTCCATCTTCAAGTGAACGAAATTGATCTTTTTTCACATCAAGTGATCGAACAACCATAGGTGATGCCAATGGATGTGCATTATCCATGTAAAAATGTTTTAAAACTTTTTTTGTATACGTAGATTGGTGAACAAATAATTCATCTGCGAAATGTTCAATCTGCAATCCAAGACAAAAGTTGGTTTTTCCCAAATCCTTCATCTCAAATTCATTTTTCAAATAATCAGCAGTTTTGTTGAGTTCTTCAGGAGTTCCAATTAAATTTAAATCATTAACATAAACTGCCACAATTGCAAATCCACTATTTATTTTCGTTATGAAAATACATGGGCAGATATCGTCATTTTTATAACCCTTATTCAACGAATATTCGCTAAAGCGATTATACCACATGTGTCCGGATTGTTTTAATCCATTTAATGATCTTTGCAATTTAATTGAGAACATTTATCGTTTGTTCCTAGTATCTTAAGTCCTTCGGGGACTTTCATATATATGTCACTATCAAGTGGACCATACAAATATGCATTTACTACATCCATAATGCGCATATCAAGCTTTTGTGGTACGGTCAAAGTAATTAAAAATCTAAAAGTGATGGTGTCCATTACGAGAGAATATGTTTCCTCAAAATCAATTCATAGTCTTTGTGAGAAACCTTGAGCTACTAGTCGGGCTTTGTACCTTGTGATTTCATTATTTTCATTTCTCTTTCGTATAAAGACCCATTTGTGTCCAACAGGGATTATATTTTCAGGTGTTCGAACCATAAGTCTAAACACTTTTCGTTTCTCCAAAAAATTTAATTCCACTTGTATGACTTCTTTGCATTTTAATCAATTATTTCTATTTTGACAGTCTTTAACCGACCGTGGTTCAGGATCCTCATTCTATATAATATCAAGAGCCACAAAATAACTATACTATTTTTCCTTTGTTTGATTTTTTGTTTCCATTGATTTTTTACCAAACAATATTTTAACGAGTCAGTTATTGTACAAATAATCATCAAAGAGGGAGTGTTGTAAAATAATGAGATAATTATTGATAATTATTTAGTATTATCATGATACATGGATAAGTGTAATCTATGGTTTAGAAGATTTATTTTATTCCAATTATAACTCTTATTTTGAATCCTATAAATATAGGACATTGGTTTATAATAATATACAATTAAATTTTAACTATTTATTTTTTCTCTTATTTTCTCTCTTCCTTTTAATTTTATAACATGAGTGTATATATAATTTTATTGTTTTTATAAATCTTATATATTAATATTAATTGATTTAATAGTCTACGCCATTTCATGTTAATTATATATGTGGTATTTTTATAGTTTTTATATAAGTTTTTATTGATCGTATACTAATAATTAGTAATAATAGTGTTTAGTGGAAATTAATTGACTTAATTTAAAAGATAAATAATTTTAATTTTAATAATAACTGAATTTAGTTTAAATAAATTTAATTTTAAGGGTATTATTGACCATAAACATAAAAATATAAGGGTAAAATGGAAAAGTAAAGACATGAGGATAAATGAGGGTATATTGGACTAAAATCTAAATATGTAAGGGTACAATTGATAATCAAAAGTTTCTGCTCAATCTCCACTTTAATATATTGTAATTCATTCTTTTTTCTTATTCTTTGCCTTTTACTTTTATCCAGATAAATTATTTGAAATTGAATGCTAACCGTTACTTGGATAGAGTCTGTTTTCAAAATTTTATTTTAGATATTAAATCTTGTTAATTTGTAATCCATATTAAACAGATTACTGAATTTTAAACAGAATTTCTAATTCAAGATAAGATCACAAATTATTCAATCTCTAGTCAAAGCTCAGACCTATATAAATACCATACATTCTTGAAATTTTCATGTACTTCCTTTGTTACAAAATGGCAAACTTTTGTGTCATTATCTCTACAATAACACTAGTAGCTTTGTTTCTCACCTCCAATGACGCGCTCCCGACTGCCGATGTGAACGATACGCCGTATGCTTTAACGCGTAATTATACGTATGTTTGTGATCCTTCGAGGTTTAATGACCTCGGAATGGACATGAGTTCGTTTGCATATTGCGATTTGTCTCTTCCTTATGATACGAGGGTAAAGGACTTAATAGACAGAATGACTTTGCAAGAAAAAGTGCAGCAGGTTGGAGACACTGCTACTGGGGTTCCTAGGATTGGGCTGCCTAAGTATGAGTGGTGGTCGGAGGCATTGCACGGTGTATCGAACGTAGGCCAATGGAACAGTAAGGCGTCGTTCTTCGATGATGAAATCCCTGGTGCAACAAGTTTTCCTACTCCCATTTGCACTGTTGCATCGTTTAACCAGTCGATGTGGAAAATGATTGGACAGGTAACTCTTGATTGTCTAGCTCGGCCCTTGAAAATTCTTTGTTGTAGATTTCTAGCGATATTTCTTACGAAGTTTTGTTATTGTATATAATGCAGGCTGTTTCGACAGAAGCAAGAGCAATGTATAATTTAGGACATGCTGGACTGACATTTTGGAGTCCAAACATTAATGTAGTACGAGATCCTCGATGGGGACGAGCTCTCGAGACACCAGGAGAAGATCCTTATGTTGTTGGAACATATGCCTCTAGCTATGTTAGAGGATTGCAGGATGTTGACGGGACAGAGAATACAACTGACCTTAATTCTAGGCCTCTTAAGGTTGCTGCCTGTTGCAAACATTATGCAGCTTATGATGTCGATGCTTGGCTTGGAATCGAGCGTTACAATTTTGACGCACGGGTAAATGTGCATCTGGAAGACCTATTCAACTTTTACAATTTCCATTATTACTTCTTCTTCTTTTTTTTTTTTAATCTATAATTTGCTTACTTTAAGGTAACTGAGCAAGACATGGCCGAGACTTTTGTTAAGCCCTTCGAAATGTGTGTTAAACAAGGTGATGTATCCAGCGTAATGTGTTCTTACAACAGGATTAATGGCATTCCTGTCTGTGCCGATCGAAGGCTTTTAAAAGATGTCATTAGGGGACAGTGGGATCTTCATGGGTAATGAAAGTCCAAACGCTCTAATTTGCTAGTTCTCTGGTGCAAAATGATAAAATTTGTTCGTTTTTATGTTTCAGATACATAGTTTCCGACTGTGATTCGATTGAAGTGATAATAGATCATCACCAATGGCTCAATGACTTGCCGGAAAGTGCTGTTTCACAAGCCCTTAAAGCAGGTTAGTTCGTCCCACAGTACTGAATGGTCAAGCTTTTTTGTCTTTCTTAACATTGTCGAGTACTGTTTAATCCATTTTATCAAATATGTTCTTTTTATGAATGCAGGATTGGATTTGGATTGTGGGAATTACTACACAAACTTTGCTAACAATGCAGTGGTTCAAGGGAAAATCAAAGAGGGAGATATAGATAGTGCCCTTCAAAACCTCTATGTTGTGCTTATGAGGCTTGGATTTTTTGATGGGAGCCCTCAGTATGAAACACTCACCAAAGATGATATATGCACTCATGAACACATCGAATTAGCAACCGAAGCAGCAAGAGAAGGAATCGTCCTTCTTAAGAATGATGACAACATTTTACCTTTGAGCGCAGACAATGTCAAAACCATAGCAGTTATCGGTCCACATGCCAATGCTACAGACACCATGATCGGGAATTACGCAGGTATAGAGGGGATCTACTTGTCAAAATGTGCATATTCTGATCAAAAGAGTTTATCTTTTCATTAAATTTTGTAGGTATACCTTGCAAGTATACAACTCCTTTAGATGGATTCTCAGCCTATGGTAATGTACAATATGAAATGGGGTGTGACAGTGTAGCTTGCAACAATGACAGTCTAATATTACCAGCAACACAAGCAGCAAAACAGGCTGATGCAACTATTGTTGTTGTGGGATTGGATTTAAGTTGTGAGGCCGAGAGTCTGGATCGAGCGGATTTGCTTCTCCCGGGATTTCAAACAAAGTTAATCAATCAAGTCGCATCAGAGTCAAAAAATCCTGTAATTCTTATAGTAATGTCAGCAGGTGGTGTTGATATTTCTTTTGCCAAAAATAATTCGAACATCAAGGGAATCCTCTGGGTAGGATATCCCGGAGAGGAAGGTGGACGTGCGATCGCAGACGTTGTATTCGGGTCACACAACCCCGGTAGGCAAATTCGACTCTACAGATGTTAATTTAGTACAATCTGCCAATGTTCTAAATTCTATGTTCATACAACCTATATGACATGTTTGTTTTGTTCAATCCTAGGTGGGAAATTACCTCTAACATGGCACGAAAACAGTTACGTCGATATGCTACCTATGACCTCTATGCAATTGAGGCCACTCGATATCATGGGCTACCCAGGTCGAACATACAGATTTTTCAACGGTTCCGTAGTGTATCCATTTGGATATGGCCTAAGCTACACTAATTTCACCTACAAAATTTCGTCCTCTGAACAATCATTGAGCATTCAATTGAACAAGTTCCAGCACTGTCGGGACCTTAACTACACCAATGACTCATTTAAGCCTCCGTGTCCTGCGGTGCTTATCGATGACTTACAACAATGTGATGATCAGAACGTCGAGTTTGAGGTCGAGGTACAGAATGTTGGCCAAAAAGACGGCCGAGAGACTTTAATCCTGTATTATATACCCCCTGCTGGAATTCAAGAGGCTCCTATAAAGCAAGTAATTGCTTTTGAAAAAGTGTTCTTGGCTGCAGGAGAAAGCCAAAACGTTCCATTTAAGTTAAATGCATGCAAGAGTTTGGGAGTTGTTAATTTTAATGGATACAATCTTTTACCAGCCGGGAGCGGTACCATTGTAATTGGAGATGACTTATTATCATTTCCAATTAGTATTAATTTTAAACAATAATTCTTATTTATTTTAGGTATTTGATGGTGAATAAGTAGTTAGAAATTAGGTTAGGTTTTAAGCTCAGTTTTTTATGTGATTTATTTAGTGGTTTAAGGATGTAATTTGTGACTGATGATCTTCTATGAATAATGAAGTGAATTATTGTTGAAGTTAAATCACTGTCATCGTTGAAGTTACAAATCACACCACTCTTCGTGCACTCATTTTCCTGGAACAAAGTTTGTAGCGTAGGACCATGCATTGTTGTTAGCAGTGTCGGCAAGGTGGTCGGCAAGGTTCTCTAACGGGCCTTTTCCGGTAACAATGGCCTGAACGAAGAATCCATGCACAATGTTTAACTAAGAGCTGCAAAATTTTGTGGCTTGATCAACGTGACTGATTCATTTAGGTATTTTTATGAATTGGGCGGCTAGGCTGCTTATCTTTCAGTATTATAATCTGTATTTCCATTGGCTGATAACATTCGTATAGACCCACGTTGCACATCCTTTCGTAAAGGTCTAACACCCCTAAACAATATTTTGGGTTACATTATGTTGCAAAAATCTAACAATGTGTAAGTATTTTCTTGAACCAATGGGAGATAGCCATGTGTGCTATTGGATATTGCAATATCTTCTTGAAAATATATTTAAATTGTACGAGTGAATTACTCATGTCGTTATTCATTTTGTGGTTATATTTAGAATGAGAAAAGAAAAACAAAGCTTTCTTGAGTTCTAAAAGTATTGCTGCGAAATTGAGACCAATGTATTTTTAAGCAAAAAACATTGAATTGAAAATTTAATATCAGAAACATTACAATTGATTAATAACAACCCACTAAAATCATGGTCCTAAAACTACCCCACGATTACAAGCATGAATAACAAAAAAAATAACCAACACCAAAAAACTGGAATAGCTTTGAAATAGTGAACTAAACAACACCACATCAGCAGTCCTAAACACGTTTTCTAACACTCCTCCTTGCTTTAGGAGCTGCAAACGCCAAGTTTTGTCCTCAGAAATTCAAACTTGCTAACTGGCAATGGCTTGGTGAAAACATCTGCAATCTGATCTTCTGTTTTGCAGTAAATAAGAACAACATCTAAATCTTTCTGTGCTTCCCTTAAGAAGAATAACTTAATGTTAAAAAGCTTAGTGTTCCCATGAAACACAGGATTATGAGAGATAGCTATAGCAACTTGATTGTAGACAAGAATCTCAGTGCTTTCCTTCTGCTCCAAGTTAAGATCGTTTAAAATCTTCCTTAGCCACAAAGCTTGATTAACAGCAGTTGTTGCAGCAACAAACTCTGTTTTAACAGTAGATTGAGCTACTGTTTCTTGTTTTTTCGAGCTCCATGAGAAAACACTAGAACCAAGTGTGAAACAGTAGCCTGAAGTGCTCCTCATATCATCAATGGAACCTCCCCAATCACTATCTGAGAAACCAACCTGCTTGAACTCTTTGCTCCTCGTGAATTTAATGCCAAAATCAAATGTGTCTGAGACATATCTAATCTCCCTCTTCGCAGTCTTGAGATGCCATTCGCTTGCATAGTGAATAAATCGAGACAAAATGCTTACAGCATTCAAAATTTCAAGCCAAGTTGTTGTGAGATACATCAAGCAACCAATCAGACTTATGAAATATGCCTGATGAATTTTATGTGTTTCATCTTCTTTACATAGCTTTTCTTTTTAGTTCGTAGGAGTGTCATTTCTTTGCATTCTTTGGGGTTAAACTTGTTCAAAATCTCCTTGGCGTATTTCTTCTGACAGATGAAGTCTTCATGTTCATTTTGTCTAATTTCCACTCGAAGAAATGTCATCAAACCAAGATTTGTCATCTCAAAAACCTCCATCATCTCTTGCTTAAACTTCTCCACAAGACTTTTGTTGTTTCCTGTCACAAGTAGATCATCCACATATGGTGAGATGATAAGAATGCTAGTTTTGTTGTGCTTGACATATAATGTTGATTCAGATAAGCTTTGAGCAAATTCCAAATTTTTGCAAATGTTCATCAATTCTACTGTACCAAAATCTTGGAGCTTGCTTCAATCTGTAGAGTGGCTTTTTAAGAAGATAGACCTTATCTCTTCTCCTTCCTTTACATATCCTTCCGGTTGCACTACATAAATCTCTTCCTACAGAAAACCATTCAGGAACGCTGACTTGACAGGTAACTGGTACACCTTCCAATTCTTTTGTGCTGAAATGGCTAGTAAGAGCCTGATGGTATCGAGGAGTCTAGCTACTGGTATGAAGGTATCTGAGTAATCCACACCAAGTATTTGAGCATATCCTTTTACCACTAGTCTAGCTTTATGCTTGTTGATTAAGCCATCAGCATTAAGCTTCGTTCTGTACACCCACTTGACTTCAATTACCTTTCTGTTTTGGGATCGATCAACCAATTCCCATGTTTGGTTCTTTTCAATCATGAACAGCTCTTCATTCATTGCAACAATCCAATTTTGATCCGTCTTGGCTTCTTCATAATCTGCAGGTTCACATACATCAATTTCACATCTTTGATATGTTGAAAAAAATTCCATCCTTTAGGGGCCACACATGTACATTTATTAGAATGTGTGGTGCTATTTTAAAGTAAATTTAGTTGATAAAGTGATTCATTGGATTTAATTTTGGACTAATGGGTATTAAATTTTATGGGATTAAAGTGTAGAGACCAGAAGGTGTTATTTTGAATTGATGAGGGGCCGATTTGAAATAACTTAAAGTTAATAACTGCCAATTGCAGTTATTTTAATAAATGGTTATGGTCCCGAATTTGAACGTGATTCTTTTTATGGTATCTCTGCATTCCCATCAACAGAGACTTTTCAAGAAAACAAAGGAAGGAAAATCACGTATCAATTGGAAGATCAAAACCCAATTAAAACAGTTAGATTCATGGATCAAGGTATGTTTCCGCACTTATCATTGTCTCTTTGATTTCAACATGGAATTTATGATTTTATGAAAGGATTTTAAGAATATGGTTCCTTTCAATTTTTACAACAAGTGGTATCAGAGCCATCCATTGTTGAAATCTTTGAGAAAATGTAATAATTTAGTTTTTTTTTTTTTTTTGGTTATTGTTATGGATCTTCCATTATTTTATGTGAAATTTATATTACTGCAATTTTTTCTTTTTTTCTTTTTTGAGATTTTCAAATTTAACTATTTGGATTCATTATTGTTGAATTTGAAAATTGTTTGGCATATTATTTATGATTATAAATCTAGATCCAGTAAAAGGTTTTGGAATTTCATTTTTCGATTTTGTTTAAAAATAAAAAAAAAGGCTGCTGCTGCGTTTTGCAGCAGCGTGCAGGCAGCAGCCTGAGCACTGCTGCAACAGCGCCGGCTGTGGCTTCTAGCCGGCGCCGACGTAATGGCAAGAGAGAGAGAGAGATGCCTACAACCAGGTGGTTTTTTGGGGGCGGGGGCCTGAGGTGCAATTTTTGTAATCTCAGGTCCTTGCTTGCAATTTCTAATTAGGGTTTTAAAATTAAAATTTTAAATTTCAGTCCCTAAACTTTGTTATCCATCCAAGTTGGACCTTAAGGTTATGGGTTTAATAATTCAGCCCTTAGATTTTGGAAAATTATTTAATCTGGGCCATTAAACTTTTGAATTTTGCAAAGTTCATGATTAATTAAAATTGGACCTTAAAGTTTTAAAAAATTTCAAATTTTGATCCCTAAAGTTTTGAATTATTAACCCTTAGGTCCCTAAACTTTCTAAAGGCATCTAACAATGCAAAATTAGTGATTCTCTCTCTAAAATTTTAGTACTAAAGACTCCCTTAAGAGGAATAATTAAGATTTAATTATGTGGAACAATAACATTCAAATATTTTGGTAATTTATTCATAATAAATTAAGGTTATCTAGCATTTTAAATAAATTAATTGAAACAATATGTCGCCAAAGTGACCTCTTTTGTGTAGATTGGTTTATTTGGATGTTTAGATGTGTGTGTGTTTCTTCATGCGGGTATTAGCCAGCCCAAAGGAAGGTTAATACTTGGCCGAATTACATACATACTTGTGGTGGTGAATGTGTGACAATTATAAGGTTTCCATGTAAATAATAAATGAATCCAAAGATAGGTTTATTATTTGACAGGAGTTATTGTCAATGTTCGATTACTACACCGAGAGTACCACTTGCAATTAGTATTACTATCCAAAGACTTGATATTAATGTTGCACTAGGTATCTTGAGATGGGGCTTACCATTATTTGAATTTATTGTTCATTAAATATGGATATGAGCATAATTAATTGTTTCTTTCTGTTCTCTCTACAGCTAGTTCATCTGCTACTACAATATTTGCTAATGTCAATTCACATACTTAATGGAACAAACTTCAAGGATTGGAAAGAGAACATATTGATTGTTCTTGGCTGCATGGATCTTGACCTTGCACTTTGGGTTGAGGAACCCGCTCCTCTTACGGAAGAAAGTTCTCCTGATGAAAAGAGGAACTTTGAGAGGTGGGATCGCTCAAATCGCATGAGTCTAATGATCATTAAGCGCAACATTCCGGAAGCCTTTAGAGGTGCAGTATCCGAAGGGATAACTAATGCCAAGCAGTTCCTTGTCGAAATTGAGAAGCGTTTTGTAAAAAATGATAAGGCTGAAACAAGCACGCTTTTGCAAAACTTGATTTCAATGAAGTACAAGGGCAAGGAAAACATAAGGGAGTACATCATGGAGATGTCTCATATTGCTTCAAAACTTAAAGGTCTAAAGCTCGAGCTATCTAATGACTTGCTCGTTCATTTGGTATTGATCTCGCTTCCTGCACAGTTCAGTCAATTTAAGGTCAGTTATAATTGCCAGAAGAAGAAATTGTCTCTAAATGAGCTCATTTCATATAGTGTGCAAGAGGAAAAAAGTTTGAAGCAAGAAAGAACTGAAAGTGCTCACTTGGCAAGTACTTCTAAGGATAAGGGCAAGAAAAAGAAGAAGGAATATGAAGCTGCTCCTAAGGGTCCAGCACAAAAGAAATGAAAGGAAGACAAAGATACTTGTTTCTTTTGCTATCAGTCTGGACATATGAAGAAGAACTGTGCCAAATATCACGCATGGCGTACAAAGAAAGGTACACTTCTTACTTTGGTCTGTTCTGAGGATAATTTAGCTTCAGT